CTCCCCCTTCCCCCGCCCAAAACACGCACACGCACACACACGCACACCAGCTGGGTCTGAACGGGAGTGGCAAGTCCTCCCTGCTGCGGGTGCTGAGCGGCGTCCTGGCGCCCGTGTCCGGGGAGCTCATCTACCCCTGCTCGGCGTCGCGCCTGTCGGTGGCGTGTCTAGACCAGCACAGCGGCAGGAAGCTGCTGGCCATGGCGGCGACGACGGATAAGGTGCAGCAGCAGCAGCAGGCGCAAGAGGGGGAGAGGAAGCAGGGGAAGCAAACGGGAAGTGATTGTGGTGGTGGTGTTGGTAGTGGCGGCAACAGGGCAGGCGGCGCTTGTACGGTGACTTGCTTCTCTGTCGTACAGGTTCGGAGGAGACGGGAGGGAGGGGAGAGAAGCGGCGTGTAAATCATTGTGAAGTAGTATCTTTTGAGGTTTTAGTCGGCTTGGGGGGTTTCAGGACGAGAGCAGCGTAGGGACCACAACCGTAGTAAACCTTCCCACCAATTCCGCCGACTGGCACAGTTTCACGGCGCCCTGCTGACCTGCTGTCGTACAGCCGTACAGCCGTACAATGTTATGATCACACCGCATCACCGCCTCTCACCGGTATTTTTCACCGCTGCCCGCACTGCAGGCTTGTGCGCCGCATTTGAAGCCTCAGGAGGTGTACGACTACCTGGGCAAGTTTGCCGTACCGGGCCCTGTGGCGGCTATGCCGTTGGCGGCGCTGAGCGGCGGTCAGCGCTGTCGTGTGGCTCTCGCTCTGGAGATGCTGCCCAGGTAGGTGATACTCAGCCCCCTACGGGACGTGTATGTATATATGTTTACATACATACAATATATACATTCATATATATACATACATACATATACATACATATACATACATATACATACATATGGTATATATATATATGGTTATAAACAAGTATCTGACCAGGCCTGACGACACTGGCCAGGGGCTGCTGCCCAGTCTCAACGGGAAGACCGCCTAAGAGCTCTCTCCCGCGGACGGGAAAGGGGCGTGAGGGGCCTCTGCCCCCCCCCCCTCCTAAGCAGCCGTGAGCCGC